ATATAATAATTTTCTCTCTTAATTTAACTGCAGGATTTTTTCAAATATTGGATTGCATTTGTTGATGTTCATTGTGTTTAGTAAATTTTCTGGGTGTTGTTTATAGTTTTTGTAAATGTAAAAATCTTCTTTAACATGTAATTTTGATTTGTCTTTTTCATATTCAAGGATTTTTAAATTTTCGTGGATGCTTTTGTATTCATGGTCTGTTTGTATTAAATGTTCTGCAAAATTAGATTTCATTGTTGTGCGGTTTCCTGATCTTAATGCTTGAATATGTTCTTTGAAGGGTACTTAGTTTTTTATAATGTTTTTATATATCAAAATAGTAGCCCTAATCACTACAGTTTTCTTAATATATATATATATATATATATATATACGTGCAATAAAGCTCTGCATTAGTTTTTATTTTGGGCATTGAACAACAATACTGTTAATAAAAAGAATATAACAAAAACTGTAAAAATGAAACTATTAAAAAACATTTTTCTTTGGAGAGAACATGGTTTTGTTCTCTTTATTCAATGGTAATTGGTTATGCAACTCAACGTCGCAAATGCTGCATCAAACATAAAGCAAATAAATAAACTCCACAACTGCTAAACAGTCATCAGCAATTGAAGTAACTGTGAGCTTTGAAGTTTAATGTTTACCGCGGATCTGTAGGGCTTCGTTATTTGCACAACACGAAGTTCGTCATAATCGCCATGTTTATTGACGATTAAAGGGTAAATTCATATTTGAAATATAAAGGACATTTCTACAAATATTCTGAAATATGATTAGGAGTCGCCTGTAATTATCTATAATATTAAAACGAAAGTGTGTTTTTTTATTTCACGATTCTGAATCAACCACTTGACGGATTTTCACGATTTTTGTGTTGAAAGAAAGAAAATTTTGAAAACTAGGGAATGTCGAAGCCATAATTTTAGTTTAGGGTCCCAGTTTTTTAGAAATTAAGTTTTAATTTTTAAAAAGTCTAGCAGCCGACGCTAAGATTCTAAACTAGCTTTTGGCATAAAATAATTTGCTTAACATAACAGCTGTAAACATTCAGCTTTTGTGTCACAAATTCAGCATTTGGATAAAAATGTAAAGACATACTTAGGGTTGACTTATTTATACTATGTGGAATGCAAATCATTGATACGTTCAATTCTTCTGTAAGAGGATGACAGATTAATTAAATTATACATAGTAAAATACTAGGATGTTCAAATTATTTTTTTAAAGCAATCTTTGTAATCTTCGATTTGTTTTAGAGCAATATAATTTGTTTTAACTAACAGCTGGTTAAATATAAACTATGGAACTATGAGGTTATTTTATTTACTCTTATTTTGTCATTGATTATAGGAAATAAGTAAGATTAGTAGAGATAATTAGACCACAGTTTAAAATAATTTAGACCAAAATTAATTAAACCACAGTACAAATCGAGTCTCTGTACACGAGTCTTAATAAAAAAGGATAAATGCAAATTATTTTACTATTCAAATTTTCGAAGAAAGAATAGAAAAATAACAATGTTTACATGTTTTAATTCTTCATGGTAGCTTTTTGTTTACAATTAATGTTTGTCTACTTAACTTTGTTTGGATTAGGCCCGGAAATATTGATGTCATAAAAAGAAGATCAAGAATAATCAGGAATCACAATTTTTAATTACCACCACAACCTCAGCCGAGTGTTATACAAAGATTGAACACAACGTCAACAATTGACGTAGGATACTGCAATTAGACAAACCATCCTTTTATGAAATCGTGTTCAGTTGTGGTTACGTTTAGGGGCGCCTATATCAGCGCCCCCAAACGTGAAAATATCACTTTTATTTTAACTATGAATATATTGTAGTTTAAATTAACTAATATGGGAAATTACAATGTACACTTATTCAATGAGGGTGGGTAATTATTAAGGATAGAACTGATAACGGTATGGATAATAAACATTGACAATTACGTCATTAGCTTTACTAGCGTGTTTACTTTTTATATTCCTGCTACATGTGACCAGTTCTTTTAGTAATCGTGAGTTCTTTTTTTTCAAATTAATGTTAGTTGAACCTAACAGCTGTTTCAAAACAAACTGTTATTGTTTTTACTTTTCTTTGTTTACACTTACCTATTTATTTAGCAATTAATGCAGTGAAATTGATATAAAGGATAGGTGTGACGATTTATGTGTACTGTGAATATTATTGGATATTATCGTTTTATTTTAGGTCGTTTCTATTCAGACCTACTGGAAATTGTGTATAGTAGTTGTATTGTGGTGATAATAATTATGGAAGAGGCAGGTATGCTATGGAAGGTGGTATCGTTGACTAAGTCTATACACTTCTCAATTGACTATTACTCTCTCTACTGTAGGCTACTTATAATCAGTGTGCGTCTGTGCGAATCGGCTGCAAATTTCACTTCAACGCTTTTCACATCGTAAAAATTGCAGAATTGCTCTTTTATTGTAAAATTATCGGATTTAAAATGCATGTCGTATAGGCTTAGGGTACAGTTTCTTAACTGGGCTATGCTATCATAACCTAACCTAACCAACCAAACTTGCTGACGGTGAAAACAACGCATGAAGGTTTACTAATCGAATCAATAGTTTCAATCGATATTAGCATAGCCCAGTTAAGAAACAGTACCCTAAGCCTATGATGGAATAAAAACATATTTGGTCACACAACATTTGTTTACAAGATGATTTTTCACATTAAAACTGCAAGAAACTTTGTCTTTATATGTGTAAACTAGCTGATCTGAATTGTACACGGTTTTAACTGACTACTGAATTCCCGTACGTAGGACGGGCTAACACCTCGTGTAGTTTTATTTTCTAAACGTACAATAGATATTTTTGCAATGCATATTAGTTTATTTATTATATTATACTCTGGATCTTGATTAGTCTAGTTATAGGATTTTTAAAACTAAATTTTGACATACAAAGAGTATTTTTTATCAAGGTAAAACTGTGATTAGTTTTAAAAGGTAACAAAATTTTGATCCAGTAAAACTTGTTAATCATGTGAAGTAAAAATCTTTCATGCAATTGTTATGAGAGAATATAGCATAAACAAGTAATTTTAGCAATGGCTATTATTGTCTGAGTAAAAAAAAAACATATTTAAAAAATGTACTTCATATAAAACGTTTTTAAATTCTATCCAGTGCTTTGGTAAACAAATTATCACCATCCTGTACAGCTCTTGCCTTATGGTCTTTATAATAGTAAAGAAAAATGGGTACTTTCCTGTTAAAGGGAACATTCATTATTATCGATCTGATTTCTTTCGATATATCGATATTATTGTTTTCCTTTACGATCCATACCTTCTGTTTTAATATTTTCAAACACATTTAATTAAATAACAAATTGACAACTGATCTTGTTTAGGGAAAACATAAATAAGTAAAACTGGTCTATAACCTAACATAACCAACCAAACTTGCTGGGATTGCTGTATCATTTCAAAATTTCGTTTGATAACAGAAAAGGCATGTGAGTAATATGAAACGGAATTTGGAAATTTTACAGCAAGTTTGGTTGGTTAGGTAAGGTTAGTTTAGAAAATTTTCATTTCAATAAATAATATTTGATAATCTTTTTAAGTTGTTTGTTGATACTAAACAATATTTACTTATCGTAGTTGTCAGCTGACATCTCGTTCATTATCGGATCCAAAACAGAATATCGATGTATCGGAAAGAAATCATCGATAATAATGAATGTTCCCTTTAACAGGAAAGTACCGAAAAATGTTATGTAAGACAATCTTGGTATTTTCTTCATATTTTTACTTATGCAACTAGGTAAGATACATTCAACGTTTATGGATTTAATGCTACATTCTTGCTCATCAATACAACTGGGTTTCAAAATTAGCCTATTTATGACAAGGTAAGATAAGCAGAGGTAAGAATATCCTTTTTGATCGAGAAAACACCACTTGGCTTGCTATAAAAGATAAGATCCTTGTTATTAAGTAACACATTGGTCGTTGGAGCTTTTCGTATTTAGAGTGTAATAATAAAAAAAGATTTTATAAAAAAGATGATTTTTATGTTTTCAAAATATTAAAACCGCCATTTCAAAAGAACATTTAGATTTGCAACAAATAGATTATAATACATTACAATAATAACTTTTGTTTAATAGTTATGAGCGAATAGGCCTATTGTATTTATTTTAGTACGAGTAGAAATGAATATAACTTATACAGTTTTGACATGGTAGTTCAAATTTAATTTTGTTTACATAGCCTTACTAAAAATATACAGGCAAAACTATAAATATCTGAAGCAATGTTTCCTGACAGTCTATATTTACTGAATAGAACGTTTTCATTTAAACCCATTCTATTGGGCACGAAACATGTATTTATAGGCAAAATAATTTTAAATATTGATTGTGCTTTGTTTTTTTATCATAGCTAATTTACAGGGGTAAAATACACATTTCAAGTATGTATAAAGCCATTCTAATAATAATTTGTATTAAGCTTTTCTTAAATTGTACACTATCAACAGCGTTTTCTTTGTACACCCTCCTGCCCTCAATTTACTTAATATGAAGAATATGGGAGATTCTACAATGTGGTATATAGTCCTTAAAATTTTCATTTTCATTTTACTCACAAAATCATATAGTTAGATATAAAAACCGTTACGTTGTTTGCTCATTTACATTATACAAATGTCCTCATAGGTTCATGTTATACGCAATAATACATTGAAATACAATAAAATATGTTAGTTGCATAACAGTTGGAGGAAAACATTTTACTAGTATCCTTTAGCAGGAATTCGCAGTCCATAAGGAAGATTTATTCCTTATACTTATATCCATAATTTCTTTCATTGGTAAAATTGTATAATGGTTCATAGTAAAAATCTATGTTTTACATCAATTACTATAGCCCTTGAATATTCAGTATATAAATGTACTAAGAATAAAAACATATAACGGATAGCTAAGAGGAATACCTGGGTCATCATCGCCCTCGTTCCAGTCCGCCAGCACGCCACAGACACTCAGCAGAATCAGCATCAGAGTCAGCATCAGAATCAGCATCACACGTGACATGGTAGACACACACAGACACAACACCACACAGACAATTAGAATACAGTAATATCCATCACAAGTACTGTTAACATCCAAAACACCTTTACAGGGTTATTCTATGTACAAGAAAGGTAATTATGGAAGCTGTATGCAGTGAGATAGGAACATGAGTGGAAGCTGATGTTTGAACGTACGTGTACTGACGTCACTCGCGCGCGTGCTACGCTCCCTGTACGCTCGGGGTAGACTGGCGAGGCGACGCGCGGCGGCCGCCGTCCTCACCCCCGCGGAGACGCCCGAACCTACCCGATAATTGCCGACTGATAGCTCTGCGGTGATGGCATGCTAACTGAGAAAGATTCGCACGCCATGAGCGCTAATGTGCGATGGGTCGAGACCCCCACCCTAACTTTGGGGTGTGTATTTAACTAGAGTATCATACTTAGTCCTCCGTGATTTTGTTTTAAGAAAAAACTGTGGTTAAATCCTTTGATATTATGAATTATTATAAAATGATTATCAACTAAATGTGTGACAAGGGATGAAATCAAGGTATCATGACAATTTCAATTAAGGTGGCTTATCGGATAGGGGTATCGACCAACTCTGATTGGTCGTAATAATCATATGGTGTAAACAACCTTACCAAACTTCATGTTAAACCTTAAAATTTATTGGGGAAGACCTCATTCAACATTTTTGGTTGCATTTTGTGTATCGATTTTACAGATTCAGGCTTGTTTTATAAGGGTTAGGATTTAGAAGTTATATTATACATGATAGTTGCTATCTATGGTTTAGTGAGTCGATGGCTCACTTCGGATCCTGGTCACTGCCGATAACATTTTATCAGTACAGTTCACCTTTATACTGTACCGGCTCACTCCTTGCTTTGCTGTAAACGATCCACGCACGGGCGCTTAGTCTATGTGGACGGGCAAATGCAAGGTTAAAATAGGCCGCCAACTCTAAAAAGAAAAAAAAATAATAATAATAATCTGTCAGTTCACTGTCTTCATTTTATATAAACAGGAATGTAGGTCTTTTACCAATAATTTCTTTTTCTAAAATGAACACTTCATTTAAATTACACACATGTCTTGGCAGCTATGAAAGCTATAACCGATATAAACATGCTAGACAAAGAAACCAAAATATGTCAAACCGCACAAGGTAGGGCCTATATAAATTTAAACAAATACAGGTCTATTATTGTGATGTAACTATAATCAGTGAAACATGACGAAGATTGTTGTTATAAGGTAGTATATTAGAAGGTACACACAATAGGTAATTGTAGTCAATTTTGTTTTCAACTGTTGAATATAACTTGAATTTTGTTGCGTATATGTCTTTAATCTCACATAGAAAAGTCATCCAGAAATATTTAAAATCAAAACTGATATTAGTCTTTTCCAAAATATGACATATCTGAGTAGTTACAGTTAAAAGGTAGCTACAATGCGTTACTATCTACATGGTATTCAATACTACATGAACCAAACACATTCTAATGTAATTGTTATACACATAATAATATAAGGTGTTTACAACTCATTCGGAACATACATCTTATTTGAACCTATAAAAAAACATGAAACTAGTTTGATATGATTTCAACGGTAATGTCTACGACGCAACAAGTTAGTTAGTTAGAGTCTGTGTATCGGAAAACATTTTAAAAGTCGGCAACAGATGGTGTGTCTTCATCTCCGGGTTGGCTTAGCGCCAGCGAGCAACACAACTATATTCATATGATATCGCAGCCAAATATACAGCACACCGCTCCCATCCTCTGTTCTAATAGAGCATATTTGCTATTAAAATTACGAAGATAAAACCATTACAATCCGGTTGTAAAATTATACTTAACTTAACACTTGATAACTATTTTTTCATTAATATTAGCATAACATGTTTCGGGTGGATTTTGTTATAAAGATTGAACTATATACTGATGTGTTGGAAACATGAAATTGAAACCCAGTAAAAAAAAAGAAATGTAAGTATTAAATAATAAAGGATTATATTATTTTTTTTACCTTGATATAATAGAATGGAAAGCTGTACCCAACAACTTTTTTCTTATAGGCTAGTCAAAATACGATCCAACATCAAACTTAAAGCAATAGAAATGAAATATATGGGATTTTGTCAACAAAGGGGTCCAAAACATCATACTAAAAATCGAGAAAAATCGAAGTGGCGGAAAGCCGCCATATTGGAAAAAAGCTTCCGCCATATTGGATTTATGTAAGCTTTTAGTAAAATGGATATAGTTTGACAACTAAGCGTCTTAAAAATCTGCGGTTTGTTTTAATAGTTCCCTCATTAAATCTACTTCATGATAAAACAATTTTTATATCATTTCAATATTTTTTGTTTAAATTAGACAGCTTTAAATTTAAAAAATACCAAATTTCAAAGATGTTTTTAGTAAAACCTTTAAATTTTTGCTAATATAAACTCAGGTGATATGAAAATACATATTTTGTGGCTATAAAAATAATCTGAATTAAATTTTGAACAATAATAACCATTACATCAGTTTGCATCTTGCTTTGAAGATGGGATATATTTGTTATTAGTCTTCAACTTGTAACGCTAGCCGTGACGCGCGCTGCACTGCTACATCTAATCCAGGTGAAATACAATTTGAGGGGGGAAAGATTGCTTTAAGAAAATTTAGACCATTATTTTGAAATCATTTATACAGGATAATATACAAACAAAAATCCGAAAAACCGAGCATGGTAACACTGACGTTTTCAAACATAACAAAAATCAATTTTTCATAATGGACAACTACAGTAGTAGTCAGATAAATATAGGATATGACCTTAAAATTTGTTCAATAAAACGTTTTATAGTTTTATTTTTTGTGTTGGGGTGGCAGAGTAGTACTAAAAGTTGTTCAAAAATTATCCACGGGAAACCCCCTAAAACGACTATGAAAAATGGCAACTTTTTCTAAAATTAACAAATTTAAAAAAACCCATGCAATTTTATGAAAATATTTTGAGAAATTGACTTGGTACACTGCTGATATTTATTCGTTATTTAGTACCTAATTTCGATAGATAACCCTTTATTGACCGCCATCTTAGATCGCCATATTGGATATAAATAAAATATTTTAAAATTAATGATAGTTTTGTGACACACCATTTTAAACTAGATTTTCACGATGATTTCAATTTTGGAATGTGTTTTTAAATATCATTTTTTGTTTTTAAGATAATTTAAATGAAAACTTTACCCCATACATTTCTTAGGAACGTTTCGTACCTTGAATCTTTTTTTAAATGATATTTCTTACATCTCCAGTTATTATTAACACTTAAATTATTCAGTGATGTAAGGGCTGTCATTTGATTATTTTGGCTATTGATAACTAAAATATGAAAGTTTTGAGACGAACTACAAACCCCATCACAATCTTAAATTGACTTTTTAGGAAATCAGTTTTTATTAAAAGATTTATATTTTGGGTTGCCAATACGTCACCAAGTTATTTATGGTCTGATGTATTAATTAAATGTTTGGCTTAATTTTTATTGATCACTAAATAAAATCTGACAAATTTAAATTGACTCAAGAACCTTCATTTAAAATTGTTTTATTTTATTTTGAAAACTGTCTTTAGTTAAATACATATCCTCAATCTTGAATAACTCCAAAAACGCTTTATAGTCTTAAATAATTCGGCAAAGTATTGACTCTTATTTTAGCTATGGATTACGTACCCGGTATTTATTTATTTAGAATTGAGGATAAACGTCTTTAACTTAAGACAATTCTCTAAATAAAAAATATTTAATCCATACCTATAAAAGAGGAAGTATGTATGAATGTATGTGTCCTTTAGACTCCGAAACCACTAGACAGATTGTAGTGAAACTTCCAGCTATTATTCAAGGATAGTGTGTGTGAAGTTTGGTGCAGATCCGTCATAAGGGCTCCGCCCCAGAGGGTTTTAAGGGGTCGATTGTCGGACTTTTGGAACTACAATTCATACAATAAATATAATTTAAAAGCAGTTTGTTTACTTTCACCAACTGCTTTGTAGGCTTGAATAATCACAACATTCGGGTTTACTCATGACTTGAAATAGTGCCACACTGTTTTCACAGAATGCAGTACAGAAAACTATTTTACTTTTTGATAAGTCCATATATATTAAACCATTGACTAAAACCTAAACACAGCATACCAGTGCACTGAACAACGTTTGAATTCTCCAATGTTAAATATGTAAACATACAAAACCTTTATCAAAGTATTATAAACATTAAAAGGGATAGCAATGCCTAAATAACTTTATCCTTTGTTCTATACCCACACAATCTAACATAAATTATTAAGTGAAAAATAATCGTGTGAGCTATATCAGGTATTCAAATGCCTCCCAATTTGTCATTAACCCACCACATTACTGTCATTAAAAAAGAGCTCAAATAATACTAATGCGAAACTTAAATCCACGGATGCTGTGCAACGGAACCAGACTGACGATTAAAAACATTACACCAAATATGGTTCAAACAAAAATCATCAGTAGTAAGTTTAAACGAGCAATAGTCTTAATCCCTATAATACCGATGATTTAATCGGAATTACCCTTTGAATTGAAGGGACTATAATTTCCTTTCGTCTTTCTTTCGCAGTCACCATTATAAGACACAAGGGCAATCGCTGACTGTCGCCGGTTTAAGTTTAGAAAATGTATGCTTTACACACGGACAGCTGTATGTTGCGTGCTCACGAGGTAGTAGGTACGCCTAAAAAACTTATATATCTATAAACCAAATGAAAAAAAAAACAAAAAAACATAGTTTATCCACTGGCAATTAAAAGAATACAATTCTATTTTTGTTTTTTGTATACGTTTTTATTATTCATCGTAAAGAAGAAAAAAATCAAATTTCAAATAATAGTTATTAGCGCAGCAACGCGCGCTGGATAACTGCTAGTTTTAAATAAAAGTCGATGTCTCGTTTTAAATTTGTCAGATTTTATTTAGTAATTAATAAAATGAATGCCAATCATTTACTGGGTAATTTAAGACCAGAAAGAACTTGGTGACGTTTTATATGAAGACAATATGTGAAGATTTATATCTCGTGTTGTTAATACAACACGAGATATAAATATTTTAATAACGTCTTATTTCTAAAAAGGTCAATTTCATATTGTGT